ACGACGATATCATTCGATTAATTACACAAATAAAATTTTAATATCTTTTTTTTTAATTGTATATAGTTAAACGAATGAAATCATAAGATTAATAATCAAAATTTAAAATTATCAATGCCTTCCCCGCAACGTTAAGTAATGTTAGACGTTCCATTTTTACGCCTGCCATCGGCACGTTCGTGATATATTTTTTCTTGCGCACGATTATCGACACCGAAAACGAAACTTTAGAAACTTTATAAAATATATATATTCTTGATCGGCGTCAAATTCTAAATCGATCTGACCACGTCTGACCGTCTCTGTCGGTAGGTAGGATGTGATGTGTGTGGTAAGCCGCCTGGAGGCCTCAAATATTAAAATTTGCAAAAATCTCCTGGTCTTGAAAATGGACTAGAAAGCTCAGGAAACAGGTCTGCAGTAAAACCTAAGTATACAACGTCTTTTACTTGTTTGTTCATTATTCACTCACCCATTCAATACCAAAGAGTATTGAAATTTAATTTTTTTCGTTTTTTAGATTTTTAAATAAACGTAAGACAAGGATAAGAGATACGACCACAGCCAGGCATTATTTTCGAATCAAATTTTTTGTTAGAATTGAAATTGTTATTAACGTTTAAAACTTTTATGAACTGAGTTTTCATTGTCGATAAATTTTTACAAAACTTTATCTGCCTGAGTGCACGAATATGCAGAGGATCTTGACTAAGACCTCGATGGCGATAGAGGTTTCAATAAAGCCGGTAGCCTTAGATATGCTAGTGCTTTAATTAAGACTTTTTTCTTAGAATTTATTACTCATGAAGTACAAACTTACTGCTTTTATAAAAAGAAAACAACAAAATTCCTTGGTCTATATCCGAAAATATTTTAGCGAACCACTCATCAAATCTCAAAAAAATTTCGGGTAGAGCCAGAAGACCTCTACCGTAACTCCAGTCCTTGGCTTTATGCTTACCTCAACTGATTGCTTTGCGAAGCATCGAAAACGGTCAACCGAGATCAACGGTTTCACCAAAACAAATTATGCATGAAGGCTATTTTATTGTTTAGTAGGCTTTACTGTATATAAACATATGTATACTAGATATATATATGGATATATATGAATATTGGGTGATTCGCAAAGAAATTTCATTTTTTTGCCGAAAACAAATAATGAGCTCATGAGTTGCCATGCGGAGTTTTGCTTGAATTAATGCCTTTGTCCTGTCTTTATCAGGCCCCACTGTCTTTCCAGAACGTAATGCCAAAGCACCGAAACGAAATGTTGCAAACCAGCTTTGGCACTGGCGTTCTGAGCTTCCGTCGCCTTCATACGCAACCAAAAAACTTTTCTTGCTTGAACACCATTGTTATCTTTCCGCTAGTAATAAGTGTAAAGTACACTAAAAATGCTGCTTTTGACTTTTCACATTTACATACTTTTATACAGATCCAATCCAAGTCCCTCCCAAACAACCATTACGACATCAAGCATCAAATATATGAAAAAAGTCCGCCGGAAATGTGAACTTGGCTGCGAAGAAATGCAATTTAATCGTTTGTTGGGAAAAAATGAATCAACCTTCCGGACAACCTAACGTGTATATATATATATATATATATATATATATATATATATATATATACGAGTTCCTAGGATAGACGTAGACAGATATAAACATTAGATGACGGTAGTAATGGAGCCCAATCTTGAACACAATGCAGTGGAATAATGTAATAAAAAATATCGATATATATACATACACACACACACGTATATATATATATGTTTATGCATCTTTATATAAATATTTAAATAAAATTTCTATTATTTTCTTGTCTATGTCGCGTATTTTAAAAGTTTTCTTAGCTCGACTTAAAAGATTAAGGTAAATATTTTCATATTTGTCATCCTTCCGCTTGCGTGTGCGTGTAAGCAATACATATTAAACGTATGAAGAAATCTTCTATGATTGTTTGCGAAACTGTGACTGTAACTCCATGTGAAAGTGCGGCTTTCTAGCGTTGTGCATCAATATACGTTATCCCTCTGAATTGCTCTAAACGTCGGACGAGATTCGTGCCAAGCGAAGAAAAAGAAAGGAAAATGCTGATCTCAGCAAGCAGTTTTTTCTGCTAAATCAAAAGGATAATGCAGTGCGGGGTGACGAACAGCGTGGGGGTTACGATATCGGACACACAAATAATGTCGAGTAGAAGAAACCGCCATGTGGAGGAAAGGTCGGCCTTGTGCAGTATGTTGTTAGTCGTTTCAAACAAACGAAATACAATACTTCTATTGATTGAAAGAGTTTGAAATGGGCTCGTATCATCGGTCTGAGCTTCAATGCTTAATCTAATATCCAAAAGAAACGACGCTTACGTAGATAATCTCATGACAAGATTTGTCCTACCGGCGCGTAATTCATATCCTGTGAAAAACCTGGAAATATACATAACATATAACATGTAACATATTTTATACCACTCGCCTGAAGTACACTGTTTTCAAAAGAAAGCAAATCAGAATTATATATTAAGAATTTACTCAATATATATGTGTTTTTAAAAATCTTAAGAATCTTGATTTTCTGGAAAAAGGAAGTAATCTCAAGCCACGATATGCAAGCTTCAACTATAAAGCTATATTTTCAACAAAGTCAGATAGATGGTGATACAAGCGTTAAAACTAAAAATTATAGGTATGATTGAAGCTTTTGCTTGCTTTTATATCGCCCTACAAAGAATAGGCAGTAAACTAGATTTGTCCTTTTGCTTGAAGTAACCAAAAATGTGCATAAAATTATATGTCATGAGCCTATCCCGACCATCTATCCGCTTTTTTGCTGCCATCTGTCGTTAGGAAGCATATATATCCAAAAATTGATGCAAAAGGTTCAAAGTTACGCATCAACTTGAAAATTACTGCGATCTGCCAAAAATCACGACCACAATAAGCGTAGAACTGTCAATTACAAAGCATAGCAAGTATGAATAGAAACTTTAGGGCGAGTGTTTAGCAGTATATCAGCGCAAGCAAAGGCCTGGTCCACGTAGAAGTAAAGTAACATAGGCGACTACACTTTAAATAACGACCTACAAAAAACATGGAACATAACAACAGACATTGGCGTAAACATTTCCTAGACTAATCTAAATTTTACTGTAAAAAACGCAACGAGATCGCCCAATCATCATGCCCACAACTATTTAAAAGATTGGCGGAGCACAACTTCCAATCGACCTATTCCAATTTCCAAAATTAAAAAATATTTAAAATTTTTATGTTTTTCAATATCTTGGGTTGATGGCTATCAAAGACCCACCCAAGTAATACAAGTAACCCCCAAGTTGGCTGCGGAGTGTAATGTTTCGCGGGCAAATTTAAGCATATTGATCATTACAATGTGGAAGAATTAATTTTTCATGTTTTTGTGCATATTGTAGCTACCCCGCCATCAACAATCACGTCAGTTGCATCGAAAGCCATTAACAGGGCTCTAATATATATATATAGTAGTAGTAGTAGTAGTAGTAATACTAGTAGTACAACGAGGTTGTATTATTATCATTATTAAGACTTAAAGGTAGTTTACAAACAAAGGTCTTGTGTAAAAAGTTTGGTACAAAAAAATGAAGAAAGGTTTAGTACATAAACCGGGCTCATCAAACTTAGTGACAACAACATTCAGCTTTGCCATTTGTGCCAGCGAGTTCCTTTGCTTATGTCGTTATATTTACGTAATCCATCTATTTTTCAACATTTCTCGCGATGCGATGCAAAAACCCATTACCTTTTCGCCACATGTGGAAAATCACATTTCAATCTCTATCGGCTACGGTTTATATGGCATACAATTTTCTTGCCTCTAAAACTTTTCTCAATTTTTTTAAAAGTTTACAAACCCATATTTCATCTTCTTTTTTTTCTCTCTCTATTTGGCAGAACCTCTCATCGGATAAGATTTCAATTAGGACGCTTCTATTGTCGCTTCTACTCGGCTTTTGGTTCAGTTTCAACACTTTTTCAGCGTTTAAAACGGTCTTATCGTGATGCTATCTAAGGAGCTTTATTGATAACTACAATCGACAGAACTTATTGTAGAAATAAACAGGAAAACAAATATGTTGGGGAAATTTGTTTATTGAAACATAATTGATTATATTACGTAAATTTCGCGCAAGATCGATATAAGCTGGACATTATATATTATACTTGAATGTAATAATTCGACGTAGTGCCACCGAACTACCACCAAATGTGAAGTAATGCAAAAGATCTTCTCTTTTGAAAACTCTTTAATTCTTAATCATAGGTCATCAAGAAAGCCCTAGCCGTGGTTTAGCTTTAGATATTGAGTTAACATCAATGCCATTTTGAACAACCGAATAATAAATAATAAGCTTCAGTGGCGAATTATGTCTATGCAAAATGATGGGCTAAACTAATGATTGACTTTAACAACACCTTACAGTAATTTAAAGGATTTCTTAATTATAATAAATTTCCCAATTGGCCCACATTCGACCCATCTATATTTCGCGCTTAAGAAACATGAATGTTCAGACTTCATTTCTATCGAAGTAGCGGCTAAAAAAGTATTACAGCCTTTCGGTCAATACCTTTTCTATAGAACGTAAGCAGTGTTTTTTCGAAGCTTGCTATTTATTTAAAAGAGATTCTTAAAACTTATGATGGAGTATAAAAATGACTTTTTCTCATTAAAGGAATAATTTACATAATTCTTCATCCCAATTACGAACGAATTGATTATTCAATTCAAGCACTTACACTTAATTGCTAAGTGAAATAAACGTGTGAAATGTTTTGACTCCGTGGGAACTTGTTTTCCAGCATAAAGATGCATATGCATTTATTCACAAGGATTACCTAATTATATCTTCTATTCTATACACATATATTTACACAATTAGATAGGTAGTACCATATAATAATATAATAATGATAACTTGCTTGCATCGTAGACAACGTAGAAACGTAATCAACTTACCATTATATTGGCTCACGAATAAGTATCCAAAACCTAATGCATTTCTTTTTAGCTTAGCATGAGAAGCACAATAATGAAATGATGCCGTGATGTATTATTGCCGACGGCATTTCATTGCACAATTATAAAAACACTGGTCTCTTAAAATGAAGACACATAATTATTTGCACACACATATACAGCAGAAATAAACAAACGGACATCGGATGTCGTCATAAAATAAACCGACAACAAAAAAATTATTGCTTGGCAAACACATTTGAATATCTATATATATCTATATATTTATATATCTACGTATGTATATATATATATATATGTATATATTTATATATATTTATTTACGTAAACTATCCTTTTTCTTTTATAATTTTATTTGTGATGCTTAGAAGTAGATTGATTAGAACACTCATGCACACATATGCGTAATTAAATATAACCATTAACTTTTTTCACTTCATTTAATTGGCTCATTACATACACGCACGTCTATGTTTAAACGATCTAAGGAGAGCGCGCAGCAAACATTTAAAAAAAAAAAAAAAAAATGAAAAAATGAAAAAATGAAAAACAAAGAAATGAAAAAACTGAAAAATTCTCATAAAAATTGCCGACTGTGACTGTGACTGTGTAACAGCAACTAGGTGCGATTCTAACACTTTCGATTGATTTCGAGTAATTTAATGGATTTATTTCAGTTTTTATCTCCGATGTAAATTTAATTATTTCATACGGGCAGCGAAACACTTGACGTTGGAAAATTTCATTTATTTCTTTGTTTTTTTAGTATATTTTATTTATATATTTATTAAATTTTTTTGTTTTAATTAGAATTTCTTATATGATATTCCATAGCTTTTTATGAATTTTATTTATATAACGGTTTTATGGATACTCTCTTGATTATTCCAAAAGGTAGAGACGCCTTTTGCATTGTGATGATAATTTTTTGTATACAAAACACTATAGTAGTGCCGCTGCCGCTGCTATCGTTGCTATCGTTGTTTGTTATACACGCTAGATTGGTGAAAAAATATCCTTTATGAGTAGAGCACTTCTTTTTTGTATATTTTCATATATATATAAATTTTATTTTATTTTTATTTATATTTTTCTTTTTGTTTGCTATTTTTTTTATTTATTTATTTATTTTTTTTTTTATTTTCTTCTTGGATGAGCGAGTTATATTTTTTCGTATACACACATCATACAACAATACACTATAAAAGGCCAAACACTACACTATTTTTATTTTGTTCCAAAGCTGTTTATTGCAGTCTACACAGAGTGAGTGGTCGTATACTTGCTCTGTGATGTGTCGCTTGCTTGCTTACTTGCTTGCTTGTTCGGTCGCTTGGTCGGTCGGTAAGTTAAAGTTATAAAGTTGTGCACATTTTAAGAGTATTTTACCCCCCGAAAAAAAAATTTTTTATTTTATTTTTTTATTTTTGTTGTATTAAAAAGAATAATTTATATATATATATATTTATATATATATACATATATATATTTATATATATACATGTATATGTATATAAATATAATCAAAAGAGACTAAGAAGAAAAAGAAGTAAAAAAAAAAATTACTAGCAAAAATAGTAACAACGTATCGCAACGTACATTGTAACCAAAATGTAATGTTGTATACAATAAGTAGATGTTATTGTACTGCTATGTGTTCTAATATAGAAAAGAGGAATCGTTACAAGAGCAGCGGCTAAAAAGATGTTGAAGAACAACAGCACATAACGTAAAAGTAAATGTAAGAAACAGAAGAAGAATACAACAATAACACTAACAACAACAAAGACACCAACGAGAATAATTGCACTTACAGGCACACACAGGCAAAGATACACATGCACAATTTATCTATAAAGAAGAGTGTATCGTATAGCAGCTTATTTGAGTCCTGGCGCAACGTTATACGCCAAAATTCGAACTAGAGCATAAAAGTTTTTGGTGCTGCGCATCCAATTCGATACTCACACGAACATGCAGTAACACAACAAAACAGTGCAAAATGTTTTGGACTCAAACGCAAGCCATGGCTTAACGACCAAAGAAGAGATAGATGAGAGCACTACAATGCTCTGTAAGTTTGCATATTTTTGTATTTCTGCGAACGTTGACGAGAGTTTAAAGCCGAAACATGTAAATGCAACAGCAACAGAGAAACTTACAATTTATAAGACTTTATTGCAAGTGTAACAACGTAGATCCAAACACATTTGGTATCGCTAAACAAACAACCGATCAAACAGCCAGATAAACGATAATCGACCGTTTAAGCCGGCTGCTCTAACCATTCATTTAAATATTTTGTGCGTTGCTTATTATTCTCAGGCAAATTGATTTTCGTCAATTTCAAGTAATTTTAGAGAATTCTGTTATAATAACAGATTCGCTATTAGATTTATTAATATAATTAAGAATACAATGGAAATCAACCAAAAGAAACTTTAATGTGCTCTCATTTTAACAGTGGTCTCTCTGTTGTGCGTACTCTATACTAAAGTCTGCGTATTTCGAACATGCACGATTTATGTTATAAAGACATAACAGAGCGATGAGCAATGAGAGAAATTATATCCTGATATGCTACGTTTTTTCAAAAAAGTAAAATAATATTTCATGAACAATTGTCAATATTAGTTAGGTCCATTATATCCACACTTTGAAAACTTTATGCGGTCGAACTGGTAAGTCTTACGTCTAATCTTGAGGGCGTGTTAGTAGAAAAGCCGGCATCTCCCTCTCACCGAGTTTCAACGGAAGTCATATTAGATCAACTTTTAAAATGCGTTAAAAATTTTCTGCTCTCTTTAAAACATTCATTGTGAACGTTCATCTACTTAAACTTGCTTTGTCGATCTTAGCTAAAAGTGTGTATTCATGTTTTCATTTTTCATTTTCGTTTTCGTAACCGTTACGGCATTAAAAAAAGATAGGAGGGGTCAAAATAACTAGGCCGAATTCATTGCTGCCCAAAAATTATCCTTCACGATGCCTCATAGCATCGCAAAATAAATAGTGCGTGTTGCACGTTGTTGTTCTTCATTACTTAATTGGATTTGAAATGCCTGACCATAGATTTAACAGATCGACTATGTAACCGAATGTAAATGCTTTGAGTAAATTTGTCTACATTTGTCTTTGATTCAAATTTAGTAAAGAAAGCCCCTGACTTAGAAACAAATATGAAGAGCGGAGATTTATATAATTGATTACTGTGTTGTTATCACTTTTATCTATAACGTCATGCCAAAATATAACACGCAAAAGTAACGATATCATATTTCTTCATGAAATCCTTCTTTCCAAAAACTGCACTAAAGTGGTTTATAATTACTTCATTCGCTGCAGAATAATATTATTATCACATGTAGTTTTCGATTTCAAAATGTTGCGCGTTCAAGAAATAAAGGATCGCTTTTCATTTGATTTGTTTGTGCCACTGCACTCAGAGCCAATTGACGTTAGGCGCAGAATTAATCTAAGGGGTAAGCGAAATCTTTAGAAAACCTTAACTTGAAAAAAATGATTTGACAATGACAGATGAAGTTGATCTTCTTTTCGAACGCAGGAAATTCTCGCTGAATTTAAGACTTGTCGAACTCTCAAATGCTTAGTTAAACTCCTGTTAACCTTAAAGTTCGCATTCACTTTGCTTCTTAAGGATAACTTGAATCTAACAGAAATGTTCTCGAACAGAACACTGTTTCATCAAGTATAAGAGTGTATACACTGTTTACAACATTATTCGAAATGTAAAATCGTAAAATCATTGCCATAATGAGTTTGTTAACATTTACTGCTTAGAAATTAACAGTTCTGCGGACCTCTCCGCCTTATTTCGTGTAAAGAGATTAAACTTTTTGAGAAGGAGGCAGATAATAAAACCAACAAAACTGTATAGCGAGACTCTTCTAACATAGCATGCATATGTATATGAATTGTACACATTAACACAAGGGTTCATTTATATCAACATTACTACTGCTACTACTACTACTACTACTACTACTACGGCTTTAAATAATTGAGTTATAAAATAATGTAGAAATATATACACGAGTTTTATCATAAATCAAAATGTGATAACAACTCAAGAGAATTGTATACAAAATTAGAGCGAAGGAGAGAGAAAGATTGTTACGCATACGGTTGCAATCGATGGAGAGTATGAGTGATTTTCTGAAGAGAGATATTCTGTGTAGTCATATAGATGTTGTCAGAGCACTTTTTTGTTATTTATTCAGTGATTTGAGCAACATCATACGGTCAAGAACACATTAAGAGTGCAAATGTATTATCAAGACGGCGTTTTACATGAATGAGTATGCGTGTGTTTGTGTGCGTGTGTGCTTAAGCTTGAAAAACTGTAAAAAGAATTAAATGAGCAAAATCATTTTGATTATGTGTATAGCTCTATACATACATGCATAGGCAACAACAACCTGCCAAGCAGCACTAGCAACTACATTGATAAATATGAGCCAGAGAGCGTTTATATATAAATATATCCATACATATATAAAGAAAACATAACAAATTATGACAAGGTTAGGCGGAGCGAAAAAATTGTTTGCTGCCTTGGCACTCCAGTTATAGTCGTTGCTGCTGCAATATTTATTGATAACAGTTTTGTTTTTGTTATTGTTGTTGTTTAATATTCTTATATACAATATTATATTGTGCTCAATCATATTTTGTGTGTTCTGTTCGTTATTGCCGTTGGGTGTTGTTGACGTTGGTGGGCTCTTTTACTGGCCGCTCGGTTAACTGTCTGACTGTGTTTTTATGTTTATTCATTTATTATAAAATATATATATATATATATTTATATATTTATATATATTTTATATATAAAAAAATTCATTTACTTTTACTTCTAACTCTTAGCTTGTATATAATCTTATATGAGATTGTATATGAAGAATATATACAATCAGCTAGGTCATCTTACAGCGGTGGTTGGTGGTTTTATAAGCACCAACAAAAAATAGACTTATTAGCCGACGCCTTTTTATGAGTTTCCTCAGTTTATAAAAGCTTTCAGATTTAAAAAAGTAAATAAATATTAGATAGAAGGAAAGCCAAGTTTAATGGAATCTCTTTTTTTTTTTGTGATTTAGATTTTTATAAACCTCCATTTAATGTTTAATATAAGAACCGGCGGGACCGACGGGTATCTACAACAGCTTTATCGCATAGCAGAGCTAATCGACATTAAATAGTCCCTAATATCACCGTAAAAGATGAT